CTAGATTTACGGAACCCGTCAAAATGACGCGTCACTAATTTTTTCATTTACGATTATTCATATCGTAAAAATACATTTATGAGTTATTTATTGAATTTATATGTTGCTGAAAATCAGAATAAATGTCTTATTGTTACTTTAATAAACTAATATAAAATAGCTGTCTTTTATGCTCCGTAAATCTAGTGTTAAAGGAGCAGTATGTATTTCTAGTATTCAAAAATACAAAAAAAAAATTACATCGAGGTTATTAATTTCAACCTGAAGTTTACAATGATTTAAAACAAAATAGCGGGAATTCTTAATACTTTCATGGAGCACGTGATATGTTCTCACTATTTTAATGCCTGTATTTTATTTAGAAGTTGCAGTTTTTAAAAGAAAACAATTTGGAAAAGGTGTCCCAAAAATGGGACATTGGCGTATATTAATTACATACGACAAGACTACAATAAAAAAAAGTTCCCCACCTAGCGTTCTAATGTATATTTTTATATTGTTACAATTAATCTCTATATTTACGTAAGTGTATTTCCATAATGTTACTTCTATAGATGTATTTCATAATACCAACATTTTATTAGTAACGAGAGGGTTGAGGACAGANCACTAATTTTTTCATTTACGATTATTCATATCGTAAAAATACATTTATGAGTTATTTATTGAATTTATATGTTGCTGAAAATCAGAATAAATGTCTTATTGTTACTTTAATAAACTAATATAAAATAGCTGTCTTTTATGCTCCGTAAATCTAGTGTTAAAGGAGCAGTATGTATTTCTAGTATTCAAAAATACAAAAAAAAAATTACATCGAGGTTATTAATTTCAACCTGAAGTTTACAATGATTTAAAACAAAATAGCGGGAATTCTTAATACTTTCATGGAGCACGTGATATGTTCTCACTATTTTAATGCCTGTATTTTATTTAGAAGTTGCAGTTTTTAAAAGAAAACAATTTGGAAAAGGTGTCCCAAAAATGGGACATTGGCGTATATTAATTACATACGACAAGACTACAATAAAAAAAAGTTCCCCACCTAGCGTTCTAATGTATATTTTTATATTGTTACAATTAATCTCTATATTTACGTAAGTGTATTTCCATAATGTTACTTCTATAGATGTATTTCATAATACCAACATTTTATTAGTAACGAGAGGGTTGAGGACAGACCACCCGGCACCATCTTTTGTACATTTCTGCACGATCTCCGCCAATCACCGGTTATAAACGATTCACCGCGACGACGGCGGCACATGTTGGAGCGCGGCGACACCAAATGCGGATCTCGTCCGCGGCAATTAACCCGCGGCCAGGTTTCCCCGTGTTCCTCGCGTTTATTGCTCGTCACGGTTAATTAGGTCGTTACTCGCGGCGAATTCGCCGGAGACAGTGCCGCGACAACGCGCCCGCAGACGCGCAAACGACCGTCATTCCGCGCCGCGTCGGCGTCTGATCCCGCTGCCGCGCCGACATCATTTTTATCGCGCCCCGTCATCCAGGGGGCGTCCGTTTTTCGGGCTGGAAGCCGGCCAGCCCCGCTCGCCGATCCTCCTTATTGCCGATTCGTTCGCATTTGCATCGGTGAGGGACGGCGGACGTGTAACTTCCTCGGGAGCACGGTTATTGTTCGTCCGATTGTCACTTAGGAAGCGGCGGGCGAAAATAGAGCAACGGTCGCCGTGTCGCCGCCTCGCCTCGCCTCGGTTCCCGAAGTTGAAACACGAGAGAGGGCCAGAGGCACCCCCTGCGAGTTGCATAATAACACTCCGGGAGAGCCGGTGTTCGGTGCCGATGCTAATAGTCGGGAAACTTTCCGGCGGAACTGCGCGTTCCGCTCGGTCAGGCCTTTTAAAAAAGGCCTGGGTGTTCGACGGTGTCCGTGGAATGCCCGGCATGCATTAATTGCGTCCAAGGTAATTGTTTCGCTCGTCACACCGTCGACGAGAGCTCAGCGGGCGTCGATAGCTTTGCACCTTTTCCTTCGCTCGCCTCGTCTCGTCTCTCCTAACCTCGGCTCTCTGCTCGCCTAGCCTCGCGCTCGAGAACCCACGTTAATTGCCGACGTTTCCTCTACGATTTCCGCGAAACACGAGGACCGTGCTGAAACTCGGTACATCGTGTGTGCAGGTGTGCTGCAGGGCGTGTGCAGACGTGTGCAGGGAATTCTTTGGAGTACATTTAGCGAGCTGTTGCCGCGCGTTTTATCGCTTTGCTGTGCACTGCCGAAATGCGTGCAAGCCTTCCCTGTAGTCGCTGAGCAATGATTCTTGAAACATATGTGTGTATACGCGTATTGATTAACGTGCGTCGAATCGGAAACATTTGTATTAATTTTTGTGCAAGAAACTTGGTTGCTGAGTGTCTATTTTTGCAAAATGATACTTTCATTTTAACACCTTGCACTGCAACGAGTCGGAATGTCATTTGAAGACTGCGAATTTTATGCAATTTTCGGCAATTAAATAAAATGAATCAAATTATTTGCAAGAAATGTCTCCAAAGATATATGTTTGGAAAAATTGCCGAACAAAGCTCAACATTGTTATATACATCGTCAATGGTACAGTTGTAAAAATGATCCGCCGTCCGCGCGGTGAAATACTTTAACCCTTTTATTAGGAAAAGCGTATATATACATCTTCACAAGTCTACTAATATGTACAAAAGACGCAAAAATACGTTCTCTCCATTTTGTGGATTGCAACACCTTTGCTATTGCACCGACCTATCATTGCGCTAACACTCGGAGGGCGAGGCTCGGGTCCATTTGGACCCAGAGTACGAATATCGTTACTTGATTATCTAATTTGCGAGGTTTAATTTAAATTTGTCTCTAATAAATATTTGTCTCTAATAAATATTTGTCTCTAATAAAACCGACGTGTCCAGAAGGTCTAAATTAAAAATTATGTTGAGAAAATTGCTAAATAAAATTATAAATAATCCTAAGCATGCTCAGTTACAATCTTGTGAAAATGGTCCGCCTCGGAGCATTAAACGTTGCGTTTATCAAACGAAACTTGTTATTCATTATCAATATGGAATTTCTTTCTTTACGATTATCTTCGTAATGTTGTGCGACAGCCAGTCACATCGTCTGATTCGCCTATTTCGCTTCGTTTGCATCGATGTCTCCATCCAAAAGTAGGTCGCAGTCGAAGGGTTAAGAATACTGTTACATTATTTTCAACTTAGTAGACCTATTAATAAATTGAACGAATTTTTATTTTACTTTAGTCTGTTGGAAATGAGCTAGCATATTTTTATTCAAAGGAAAATATGTGCCCATAATTATGAAAGTGGTCTAAGTCATATATTTCTTGTGTTTCGAGATATTTCATGAATCGCATTTGAATAAATTAAAAAATATTTTTACATTATGCGACATTTTAATTTATAATTTTATTACTCTTGATTAATGGAAATTTATTATAGATATGAAATTTTGTGTGAATTTCATAGGAAAATGTTGTTTTTAAAGCTTTAATTGACTTAGACCATTTTCAAAATTAACTGAATGTCCTATAATTGACTTGAAGTAATAAAAAATTGTGATTTTTATTTGAGCCGTTTATTTTGAAAGTGGTGTAAGTCCAATGTCATCGAAAGAAGTGGCGTTGCGTGGGGTATTTAGACAATACAAGCTCAGATTCGGCATTTTGAATTTCTTTAAAAAAAAAGAACTTATACCACTTTCAAAATAAACGGTCCATTTGAAACAACAACTTTAACGAAATAATTCATAAACATTTATTAAACATTTTTAAAAAGTGATCCATTTTTATCATAATTTCGAGTTTGTAAGATTTTTAAAATGTTCCTGAAAAACTGGAGGGATGTATGTTAGTAAACACATAAGATCTTTATGTTTTTCTTCCGTTACTGGTCTAGTGGAAACGCGACAAAGAGGGCCACGCGGTATTTTCAAGTTATGTTTATATAATTTCTCTAAATTGTTGACTTAGACCACTTTCATAATTAACACTAAATGAATTCCGTATAACGTTTTAATTACAACTACTATCTAAAAGTTCATTTTTGATGATATCGTAAAAATTACATTGAATAAATTTAGTTTAAAATCATGTCGTGTGAAATAAGTGATGAATTCATTTTTTTTTAAATTTTGACTTAGACCACTTTCATAATTATGGGCACATATGATTCTTATATTAAAACTTGGGAATGAAAATAAACGGGAAACAAAAATCGTCCCGTTTCTGATCGTAATAATTTCTTCGAAGAAAAAGAAGATTTCTATTTATAGTGTTTGCCTATATTCGCTTGAATGCTTGAATACCGGTGACAGAAGAACATGATCGTTATTCCGGTTTAAAAGAAAACGGAATAATAACGTTCATACTTGACAGGATACTATTAAAAGTCTCTATCGCGAGTCAGACCCGCCGAAGTACAGCAGCAAGGCTACAGTGGTCGTAATTGCAACCTCAGTTTTGCCTGGTTAAAAATCTTGTTGCTGGAAGGTGCACGAGAACACGGTGCAAACCCGACAAACCTGTAAATTTCCGGTTTCGTGAAAATTGTAACGTTTCGAACGAGCATCTCCACGCCAGGCTGGAGGAAAATACGGTCGCGTAGTTGGAAACGCGACGGCGTGTAATCGTTCTCGGGCTCGAGACCCGAGGTAATTCACGGGATGTCTAGAACCGCTAATTGCGTTCACGAGGGTTAATTGAAACGAAAAGCGTCGCGGTCGCCGGTCCTGATTACGCAAAACGGCCGGCCATCGATCTCGAAGGAGCGGCGCGTTCCGCAGCGCTGGAACTTTTATTCCCGGTTTCTAATGGAACTCCCCGTAGAAACTCGACTACGGGATCGCCGGAGTGTTTTATTGTTCGCATTCCAGGGCAGCGTTTAAGTGCGCCGAACGATCCCGTGGCCCGTGAAGGGCTGCGCGCGCGCGCGCGCGTGGCTCCGTTTCTTTCCGTCGCGGCGATCTGACCGGACGTTCTCCTTTTTGTTCATAGGGACCTGAGACCAGCCAGCTTGGAGAAGGGCCAAGAGGCCCTCAGACTGCGAGTGTACACCATCTACGCGTGGGGTGGGCCGCTCTTGGTCGCCGGCGTCGCCGCCCTCCTGGACCATCTTCCGCCCCAGCCTCAGTACACGTTCCTCCGGCCACGATTCGGCGAGAAACACTGCTGGTTCTATGGTGAGTTCCCTTTTCCCGTCAGCATGAAATCTTCTCGGCGAAGCACGCCGCGAACCTTTGAACCTCGTCGCGCAGAAGTTTCCTCGACGAACGAGGAGCGGCAGTCTCGAGGAGCGAGACTTTTAATCAGAGCGACGACGTCGAGCGATCCGGTCAGCGGCTAAAAACAAGCTGCGAATATTACCAACCCCCTTTGTTGTGCTGCTATCTACCGTCGTGAATGAATGTATTTTCATTATTTATCGTTAAATTAATATTATCTATGTACCAGCAATTTTCTAATGTATTTCTCTCTCTTTTTTCTTTTTAATTTGAAGCCTCGTTGATGTTATTAATTACTTCACTATTTGAAATCGCGCGAGCTCGTTTTTAAACTCCAATAGTATAAAATCCAGAGTCGACTCGTTACAAATCAAATTTTTGCGGCGCTATTTACTTAACGCACGCTTTGCTCCCGGAACGAATTCGACTGTGCAAAGAATAACATTGGCCGCGCGCGAACGTGCACCCCTCTTGTTAAGGGTTGACCCTCTGGCAGCGGATGCGGGTCGTTTTGTTCCCGTTGTATCTGTTACGGTATTTATTTGCCAACAACATTTGTATATGCAACAGTCTTGTAATGTTTTATTTCTTTATTTACTCGCTCGCTGGATTACACGTGTATTTAGTCTCGCGCAAATAAATGTACGCGGAAAACGGTGCGCGCGAGGCATCGATGCGATGGAAATACGAGCAGGTTAACAAATCAGCGAGATCGAGAAAACGATACCGGTCGAAATCGAATTGAACAGAAAAATTCGTATTTTTATAATGAACTTCGTAAAAATTGCAACGGAGGAGAACTGTGTATTGTTAACCTAAAATTTCGGGGTTGGGAAAAATTCGTATCTTCATGATCAACTTCGTAAAAATTGCAGCGAAGGAAAACTGTGTATCGTTAACCTAAAATTTCGGGGTTAGGGAAAATTCGTATCTTCATGATCAACTTCGTAAAAATTGCAGCGAAGGAAAACTGTGTATCGTTAACCTAAAATTTCGGGGTTAGGGAAAATTCGTATCTTCATGATCAACTTCGTAAAAATTGCAGCGAAGGAAAACTGTGTATCGTTAACCTAAAATTTCGGGGTTAGGGAAAATTCGTATCTTCATGATCAACTTCGTAAAAATTGCAGCGAAGGAAAACTGTGTATCGTTAACCTAAAATTTCGGGGTTAGGGAAAATTCGTATCTTCATGATCAACTTCGTAAAAATTGCAGTGGAGAAAAACTGTGTGCCGTTAACCTAAAATTTCGGGGTTGAGGAAAATTCGTATCTTCATAATCAACTTTGTAAAAATTGCAGTGAAGGAAAACTGTGTGTCGTTAACCTAAAATTTCGGGGTTAGGGAAAATTCGTATCTTCATGATCAACTTCGTAAAAATTGCAATAGAGGAAAACTGTGTATTGTTAACCTAAAATTTCAGGGTTAGGGAAAATTCGTATCTTCATGATCCACTTCGTAAAAATTGCAATAGAGGAAAACTGTGTATCGTTAACCTAAAATTTCAGGGTTACGGAAAATTCGTATCTTCATGATCCACTTCGTAAAAATTGCAATGGAGGAAAACTGTGTATCGTTAACCTAAAATTTCAGGGTTACGGAAAATTCGTATCTTCATGATCCACTTCGTAAAAATTGCAATGGAGGAAAACTGTGTATCGTTAACCTAAAATTTCAGGGTTACGGAAAATTCGTATCTTCATGATCCACTTCGTAAAAATTGCAATGGAGGAAAACTGTGTATCGTTAACCTAAAATTTCAGGGTTACGGAAAATTCGTATCTTCATGATCCACTTCGTAAAAATTGCAATGGAGGAAAACTGTGTATCGTTAACCTAAAATTTCAGGGTTACGGAAAATTCGTATCTTCATGATCAACTTCGTAAAAATTGCAATAGAGGAAAACTGTGTATCGTTAACCTAAAATTTCAGGGTTACGGAAAATTCGTATCTTCATGATCCACTTCGTAAAAATTGCAATAGAGGAAAACTGTGTATTGTTAACCTAAAATTTCAGGGTTAGGGAAAATTCGTATCTTCATGATCAATTTCGTAAAAATTGCAGTGAAGGAAAACTGTGTGTCGTTAACCTAAAATTTCGGGGTTAGGGAAAATTCATATCTTCATGATCCACTTCGTAAAAATTGCAATAGAGGAAAACTGTGTATTGTTAACCTAAAATTTCAGGGTTAGGGAAAATTCGTATCTTCATAATCAACTTCGTAAAAATTGCAGCGAAGGAAAACTGTGTATCGTTAACCTAAAATTTCGGGATTAGGGAAAATTCGTATCTTCATGATCAACTTCGTAAAAATTGCAATGGAGGAAAACTGTGTATCGTTAACCTAAAATTTCGGGGTTAGAGAATTTGTATCTTCATGATCAACTTTGTAAAAATTGCAATGGAGGAAAAGGTTATCCTAAAAATTCGGGGTGCAACAAACGCGCAAAGGCTCGCAGTGTGGTAACCAATCGGGGGAGAGCAGGTTTTGCAACGGAAATGCAATTCGATCGAGGAGCGTGAAGCGATCGCCCGGCCAAGGAAATATTTGCCGGCACGAAAATGGATCTCGGGGCGGAAAGAGGTTGCCGAGGTAATTAATCCTCGGTCGCGTGGTACGAGGGCCGCGAATTAATTCGATCGCGTCACACGCGACTTATCAGTGAATTAATTTCCCGGCGGTTGTCGGACCGCGGATCTCTGGTGTTCCGTTGTTGGAACGACACTCGGGGCCGGACTTGCTGACATTAGTAACGGATCAGTTCCACAGACGGTAATGGAGCCTATTACCGAAAGTAATACACGCCGGCAGGAGTACGGTTAACACGTAATTCCCTGTGATCCGATTATTCCGCTAATTAATAGGACTGGCCAGTCGTGTTCGGGGCGCTGATTAAATCGGTTTCGTTAACCGATCGATCAACGGCGCCGAGAGGAGGGTGGGGGGCAGATGACGCGCCGTGGATTAATTGCTAATCGAGGCCTGGTCCCCCCTCCCCCCCACCACGCGTAGGTTTTCGGCAAGGAAATCATTTCGAAGGATCCGCTCGATGATCCTGTCCGTCGGGAAATTAAACTCCTCTAACGCATGAACGGAATCATGCGGGACGCATAAAACGAGTTTGCTCGATCGATTCTACCGAACTGCCGATCGAATTCGGGATAAAGTTTCACTTGACGAAACACATAAAGTGGGCAATGAGGGCGAAGAAATTCGCTCTTTGATCTGCTGGCGATAAATAGGCGTTGTAACTTTACTTCGCTGCGAATCTTCATTTCATGAAGAAACACCGATAGCATCGGCGATCTCGTGCTTAATGTGCTCCGTGGACCGAAAGGGGCTGCCCTATAAACTTATATTTCATTGTATCGTTAAAGCGTTATTGCTTCCTACTACATTATCATTTAGAGTGTGCACTCTCTTTTGAAATCGCTTTAACAGGCGCTCGCTGCTTCTCTCTCTACTCTTGCATAAAGTGCTTCGATATTTATCAGTAGATTTAATTTATTTTCATTTCATTTGTTTTCATGCGCGGCTTTCAGACACTTTAATGTACCAGAAATATTACAAATTGTACAAAGAATTGTACATTATACAAACATTCTACGTTATTTAAAAATTGTACGTTATACGAAAATTATATATTATACAAAAATTATGTATTATACAAAAAGTATAATAAAAAATATACATCATACAAAAATTATATATTATATGGGAATTATATATTGTACAGAAACTATGTATTATACAAAAGTTATACATTATACAAAAATTATATGATATACAAAAATAATGGTTGCAAAACGTTACATTGAAATTCTGAAAGTATACAGAAAAAATTCAATGATTAGTATAATTTATTTACTGAAATGAAATTTTTATTCAAACAATTGAACATACCACAGTTGGTTAATTAATTGTGTGAAACTCATATCATAAAAATGGCGGATCTTTCTACAAACTCTTATTATCATGTTCTATTTTCCAAAATTTATTACATCGTTCAAACTTCGACAAGCACAAAGATCCGCACTCTATTGATCGGTTCCTCCTTATTGCATCTCCTTCATTACCAATATTAATAACGCGACACGTCGCTAGACACCTTGACTCGGCGCATTCCAGCCATAACTCCGCAACCCGAGATCACGTCGAAGGCGGCACGCGGAGCGAACCACCCCCGCAAGTGAAAAATTAACCCCGGGAACACGCCCGCTAATGGCGACTGCTGTTCTAAGAGGATTACGCATCCGAAATATCTCGTTGCGGGGGTGTAGAAGCATCTCCATCTTCCGCGGCCGGTCCCTATTGGTCCCGCGATTTTTGGTAACGCGCACACAGGCGTAATCGGCCGCGATAAGAAACAATGGCGCACGCTATCAGCGTCCGTTAGACGGCAGGCGCGGAGAGCAGCAGCCACTACTTCGCTAAGAGGATTACACCGCTCCCGAAAGATTGTATTTAAGTATGACGCAGGGTGGCCGAATAAGAAGATCGATACCCCCTGAGTACGCTTAATACCTTGAATCCCTAATAATAACCAGCGCGAGCCCTAGCTACCCGGCCCTCGTTGTATGTGGTGTGTGCGCGCGCGCACGACTGCACCAACACCGGCGCACGCTATGCGAGGATAATAAGGAGCCGAACGGTAATGTCGTGTCTTTATTCGTGGCCGTGGTTCCTGCTACGGTTGCAGGCTATTTAACGAGCAACCCCCGTAATCCACATCCAGTGCACTCCGTAATCCGGCCGGCATACTCTTCCCACCCCTCTGCCGCCCCTCTCTCGTCTCTCTTCCCTCGTCGATCTCTCTTTCTCCGCCTCTGGCGCGCGTGTATCCGCGCAAATACTCGTTTCAAACAGCGGCAACTACCGCGTCGCGTATTAATTTCCCGCGGTCGCGATATTTATCGACGCTGGCCGAGGGTGGGGACCGGCGGGGGCCGAGGAGCA